TTCCCACCTGTGGGCTTCGGCAACAGCACCTCCTGAAACGACCGCAACGGTGAGGGCACGCGCCCCAACCGCACAATGATGCCCCAGATGTGGATCATGGCCGGCACGGCTGTCGGCGGCAACATGGCCAGGTGCCGCGGATGCAACGATTCAGCCCCCAGGCCTGTGCCGCGCGGAAAAGTCTGGGCGACCGTGACCATGTCTTCGACCGCCGGCAGCGGCACCTCGATGTCGTCCAGCTCGCCCCACAAGTCGGCATCGGTAGCGTCGCCAGTGCCTGCCGACCACAGCTTGTGCCAAGGCTCGATCTCCGCGCGGGCCTCTTCTGCCAGCCCTTGGCCAGAAAGGGCAGCCGCGGAACGCCTGCCTGGCCCCCTGGGCGTCCATGACCGACCTGGTCCAGCCCAACCACCCCTTGAGCCGCGCGTGGGCTGAGGCCGAGTCGCCGCGCTCGGCTTCCGCCCTCAGCTGCGCCGCCAGCTCCAGCACCTCGGCGTCTGTCATGCCCAGAAATCGAGCGGGGCTTGCATGGATAAGGTGAAACGCTGCATGGCCACATGGAGGGCCCGAGCGTGGCGGTGAGCAGCCGGCCGGACCAACCCGCGAAGGTGGCGCCATTCCAGCACGCGGTCCCTCAACCATCCCCAGTAGCCAGCGCACACCGCGGGCCTGCCTGCATGGTGCCACGTGCGACGCGCCTGCGCCACGGGCACGCAAGCGAGGCGTGGCCCGCCGGCGCGGCCTGCATACTGTGCCTGGGTATCCTGGAACCCGAAGTACGGAGTGAGCTCGTCCTCGTACTTCCGCCGCCAAGCCCTGCATGCTTCGTCGAGGTCGGCCTCGGTCGCCGCCGACTCTGCTTGAGCCTCCTCAATCCAGAGCTCGAGGCTGGGCCCGACAAGCGCTTGCGAGGGAAAGGGCTTGGCCTTCCGCAAGACGGAGACCAGCTCGCTGGCCGAGGCGGAGTGGAAGGCCATGCGCACCACCCGATGCGGCCTGACCATCTCTCGTCGACGACGGTGACGGACACGGCAGCGCTGCTGGGGGACGCAATGAAATAGTCCAGCTCGTTGCCGACCGATGACCCGTAACGACCGTGCCGCGTACCGCTGTGAGCCACTTGGTCTGTTCAAGCAGCTGGGCTTAAACTGCCAGTCGCCCGCCAACACGAATGGCTTGCCCACGCAGCGCACGGCCGCCTCCACCTCGGACAAGCGCGCGTGTTTGTGTCCGCCCAGACCGCCGCCCGTGTGGAGATACATGGAGCCGTCCACGAAGCCGCTCGGAGGGCCTGCGGAGACGCTCCACAAGGCCATGCGTTCCGTGAAGGGTACGGGGACCCCTCCCCCGAGATGCGTGCGGCGAAGCCCGGCCCAGGGCCCGGTGAGGATGGCGACAGCAGCGGATGTGCCGCCCGCCGCCGTGCGCCGTGCGGGCGAGGAGTCCGACTTCCAGCCGCATCGCCGAGGCGCACTCTGCGCCAGGACGATGCTCGGCTCGCCGAGGTGGTGCTCCTGGAGGGCCACAACGTCTGCGTCCACGGCGCCGCTCTCCGGCTCGCGCAGCAGGGAGCCCCCTCCCGTGGCATTCACGGTCCCGAACCGCGACTTGTGATTGTAATTCTCTCAGCGCCCCTCGAGATGACCTTCGAAGGGTCATCATGGGCCATGGCATGGTCGGCGTTTCGACATTGGGCGCAAGGTGGTGGGAAGGGGGGGGTCTGGCTCTGGACCTCTGCTTCCTGCGTCTGCTTGCACCAGCGCGCCCCATGGGGCAGGCCCCGCTTGCCCGAAACAGGCGACAAAACCAGCACCTCTTCCGGTCGAAGCTGAGCGGGCCGTGCGAAGCTGGAATTCACAGAGAGGGGGGGAGGAAACGGGGGGGCGCAGCCTCAGAACGAGGCCGGGAGGAGGCAAAGCCTCGGAATCAGGCGGTGCCGAAGCCGACGTATCTGCAAAGGAGCACCTTCTCCATGAACCCAGTGGCGCAGTACCGGTCGAAGCAAAATGCTCCCGTGGCATTCACAGTCACGATCGAGCAGAAGCCCAAAAAGGATGCCGCCGCACGCGCTTTGGACGTGCCCGCGCGGGCGGGCACGTCCAAAGTGGAACCCCGGCAGGCGCTCCCAGACGCAGGCGGCCGCGCGGCGGGCCCCTGAGCGTCCCCAGCGCCCCCGTCGGCCGCATGGTGAGGATGCATGATGATGAGAATAATAATAACAACCAGAATAATGATAATAATATTAATAATACTAACAATAATACTAACAATAATGCTGATGATAATGATGATAATGATTATGATGATGATGATGATGATGATGATGATGATGATGATGATGATGACGATGATGATGATGACGACGATGACGATGACGATGAAGATGAAGATGACGATGCCGTTGATGACGATGGCGATGGCGATGGCGAGGGCGGTGCCGACGATTGTGTTGATGCCAGTGATGGGGATGGTGTTGTGGATGGTGCCGGTGATGATGGTGGTGATGATGATTGTGGTGATCGGGATGGGTATGTGATGCCGATGTTGGTGGCGATACTATGGTACGCGGGTGATGACGGTGATCGTGAATGGTTATGGTACTTGGGTGTATAAGGATGATTGCGAAAGTGTTGGCGATGATGAGTGTTGTGATGGTGGTGATACTTGTGATACGGATGGGGCCGATGGTGTCGATGATGGTGGAGTTGTGAACGGTGATGATGGCAAGGCTGCTGGTGACTGCGCTCATGGTGATGGTGATGCTGGTGACGATGATGTCGATGATGGCGATAGTGGCGATGCTGATGAAATAATCGTTATCATGATGTTGACGAGGTGATGGTAACGGTGATGACAAGATGAGGATGCGGATTCTGGTATTGTCATTGCTGATGATCAGTATGGTGATGCTGATGGTGGTGATGCTGGTGACGATGCTGATGATAACGATGAGGATCATCATGGCAGTTAGGTGCCTTTGGCAAGTCGGCAGCCGTGTGTGGCGACCCGTCAAATACGGTTCAGAAGGCCGTGACATGTGACCCTTTTTGTCACCACTCCATGGGGGGCACTCATGGGGCCTGGACGGCCGTCGTGGGGTTGCATTGGACCTCCTGCGGGGCAGCTATGGGGGGTCTCTTGGGGCCCTCCTTTGCAGTCTTGGGGCCCTCTTCGGCCGTGTTCGGGCTCTCTTGGCAGTCGTGGGGCTCTCTTGGCCGTCTGTTAGCCGTCTTCAGGTCGTCTTGGGCTCTCAAGGGGTCCTTCTCAGGCAGTTGGTGCGTCCCTCTGGATGCCTTCCTGGTCAGCTTGGGGGTCTCTCGGGCCGTCCTGGATCGTGAAGGGCCGCTCTTAGTACCTGGACGCAGTGGAATTGAGACGCAGTAGTCTATAGCGTCCCGAGGGCCTCCTGGAGAGCGGCTTTGGGATGCTTTGGTGGCTGTTGGAAGCCTCTTGCGACCTACTGTGCGCTTCTTGGGGGCCCTTTGTGCGCACATTGAAGCAATCTCTGGCCATCTTGGCGGCCGTGGTGGCCTTCTGGGCCGTCCTGGGGGCCGTGAAGTGCCCTGGGCCCCCCCATGGAGGCGTCGGGGCGCCCAGTCGGTCGTAGGGGGAGGGGGGGAGGCGATGCACTCACCACACTGGTTCGAGTTAGGGGGTCCATTGCATCATACAGGAAACACCCCGAACCCTAAAGAGCAGCACTTGGCATTCTGCCACGCCTCAACACGCCAGGGGTCATCGTGCCAGATTGTACGGAGGACAACGATGAGGATGATGGTGGTAACTGTGGTCGATCATGTTGCTGATGCTGATACTGATGTTGATGATGATGATGATGATGATGATGATGATGATGATGATGATGAGTATGATGATGATGCTGCTAACGGCGATGCTGTTGATGATGACGGCGACGATGACGAGGATGATAATGTTGATGATGATGATGATGTCGATGACGATGATGCTATGATGATGGTGCTGATGATGGTGATGATTATGATGATGGTGATGATGATGACGATGGCGATCGCGGTGATGATGATGATGATGATGATGATGATGATGGTGATGGCGATAAAGATGACGAGGCTGATGATGACGATTATGAAAGTGGTGGTAGCGATATGTGTGATGGTGATGATGGTAGTGATGAGGCTGGTAGTGATGATGGTGGTGATGATGGTGATGATGGTGCACATGCGGATGCTTCTGACGATGATGATGATGCTGATGTTGATGATGATGCTGACGACTAGGACGATGATGACAAGATGATGATGCTGAAGATGATGGTGTTGGTTGTGATGGTGAAGATGACGATGATGCTGATGGTGCTGCTGCCGATGAGGATGATGATGGTGATGGGGTTGAAGCTGAGTGAGATGATGATGGTATGGTAATGACGATGGTGATGATGATGCTGATGATGATGATGATGATGATGGTGGTGGTGATGGTGATGGTGGTGGTGACGATGATGGTGGTGCCGATGGTGATGGTGATATTGTGGCGGCTGGTGCTGATGACGATTTACCTTGCTATGGCAAAAGACCCAAGCGCCAGGCGTGCTGGTACTCAATTCAGCCAGTGATGTTGATGATGATGTTGGTGGGGGCGATGGTGAGGCTCATGGGCAGGGAGCAGATGCAAAGTATGAGCTGGAGCCAGGGGACGGCAGAAGAGTTTGAGAAGATGGCGACGGGGGTGAGGATTAGAAGACGACTACAGTCAACGCGCCTAGTAAGGACGCGCGCCTTCATCTAGGGTGCCCTTGCGTCCTTGCCTCTGAGGCTCGCCCTTGCCATTATCACTGGTCGCCGCCGCCCAAAAAGACCCAACTTCAGCCTCCAAGGGTCTTGCGTCCTTACCACGCGTCCTTAATCTACGTTTTGACTGTGTGGTGTTTACGTAGGGTGCGGAGGACGAGGTCGACGGAAGAGCAGGAGGATTGACGCGGAGGAGGACGCGAGGGGCCGGCCGCGTCTCCCACCGCACAGGTGGAGACACGGGAGGACTTCTGGAAGGTGCAGGTGGAGGCCGTGTACCGCAGGTGCCTCCTCGTCCTCCTCGTCCTGCATTCCTTGATTCTCCTTTCTAAAAAGAGAATAGACTCTACCCCCCCCCGCGTGTCGGCGTCGTCGTCGTCGTCGGTGTCGGTGTCGTCGTCGTCGTCGTCATCTTCGTTGTCGTCGTCGTCGAAGTCGTCGGAGATGTCGTTGGTGTCGACGTAGTCGTCGTTGGCGTTGTCGTCGTCGTCGTCGGCGCCGGTGTCGTTGCCAAGTGCCATGTGGAACCTACCGTCACGGTCTTAAGAGGTTTTGCAAACCAAGTTGCGGGTGGGTGGGTGGGATGCTTGCAAGAGCATGAGATGTGTCACATCATGAATAAAAAACATTCCTTATACATAAATTCTCCCTGTCGCACCCCGAGGCCAGTTTTGAGGGTGGGCCGGGCGTTTCGCCTAAGACTTTCTCACCATCTATGGCTCTAGAGGTTCAACATTGACAGCAGCTTCACAGATGAAGGGCGGGTCGTTTCCAAAAAGTTGCTCTCGCATAAGCGCCGCGCGCGACCATTAAAAGAAATGCAAGGGTTGCACTCACTGAGGGCGATCCGTTTTCAAAATGTTCCTCTTGCCTTAGCGCCGCGCACGTTCTTTTTTTACAAGTGTGCAAGAGTTTCACGGGTTGAGGGCGACCCGGTTTCAAAATGTGGCCCTCGCATAAGCGCCGCGCGCATTCGAAGGGCGATCCGTTTTCAAAATGTGGCTCTCGCCTTAGCGCCGTGCGCACTCGTTTTTTTTTGAAACATTGAGTGCGACCTGTTTTAACATGACATGTAGAAGGGCTCCACGGATTGAGGGCGGCTCCGTTTCAAAATGTGGCTCTCGCCTCAGCGCCGCGCACATTCGTTTATTTAATTTTGCCAGAGCTTCACGGATTCCCATGATCAGCGTACCAGAAACAGCGTTTGGGAAGGATTTACGAGCATGCGGGTGCAACAGTTACGTTGTTTCGCGGTGTTGTAGTCCCAGGAATGGCGTTCTGGCACGATTCAGGATCCTCAAGACGCAACAGTAAGGTTGATCCGTGGCGTTGGAATCCCGAGAACATGTTTTGGCATGCTTCAGGGTCTTCAAACGTTTGTTTTCCAACAAGGCAGTTCTCTTCATGGAAATCAACCGCTGCAGGGGCCTCTGATAAAGGAGTTTGAAGGGAGTACGCTGGTCCGGTCCTCCTACTTCTCCTTCTTCTCCTGCTCCCCCTCCTCCCCCTCCTCCCCCTCCTCCCCCTCCCCCTCTCTCCTCCTGTCCCCCATCGTCGTCGTGCTTCTCCTCCTCCTCCTCCCTGTCATATGTCATTATCATTTCTTATCGCCGTCCTCGTCCTCCTCCCCCTCCGCCTCCTCCTCCTCCTCCTCCTCTTCCTCCTCCGACCTCCTCTTCTTTTTGTTTACTATGCTCTCTCTCTTGTTTTTCTCTCTCTCTCTCTCTCGCTCTCGTTCTCTCTCGCTCTCGCTCTTGTTTCTCTCTCTCTCTCTCGCTCTCGTTCTCTCTCTCTCTCTCTTTCTCTCTCTCTTTCTCTCAGTCTCCTCATGCAGCTCTTCACCGTTACCTCCGTTCCCTCTCCCTGACGGCTTCGCCCTCCGTCTCCTCTGCCCCCCTCCTCCCTTCTTCGGTCCTCGCTCACATCTCCCTCCCCCTTGCCCTCCTCCCTCATCATGCCCGCTTTCCCCGTGACCCTGCCCGCTGTCCTGCCGCAGCTGTCGCCTCCCGGTGTTGCCGCTCGTCGCCCTCCTCCGCCACCTCGTAGCGCACTTCGTTCCCATACCTCCATCGTATTGAACAGAACCGTGCTGAGTTGTTTCGTAGTTTTTGTGCGGCCCACCGCTCGCCTAGACTGGTGCTTGACCGTCTCGCACACGTTGGCGCCCGCGGGCCAAAAACAATAGTGTCGTAGTTGTTTGTCGGTCTTCGGGACCTTCGCCGGGCCTCAGGGCCGTCAGAAAATGTCGCAGGACGACACGGGACCCCCGGGGAGGGTGCCCGGACTTCGGGGGACCTCGTGATGACCGTACCATGGCAACGGATCTCTAGATCCGGCTTCAGTGCGCCTGCGCCGCAGGCGCAACCCCTACAAGCTGGGGGAGGTGCCCGGGCTCATGGCGAAGTACAAGGGTAAGGAGGCCGGCCTGTACGCGAAGGTCTGCAAGCGGTACGACCTGGACCCGAAGAAGCTGTACGCCGACCCGAAGGCGGGCGCGGCCTGGGGGTGGTGCAGAGGAGGGACGTGTGGGGCGCCAAAATGCGCAGGCGTCGCACGGATTAGCGGCGCGCGCAAAGGAGTAGCGCGAGGGGGAGCCCTCGTAAGAAAGATAAGGGCCCCAGCGTTGTCTAAGACGGCTGCGCAGAAGCTGGGAGACATTGCATCAGCTGTGCGGCTCCAGTGTGCCGCGGATCGAGCAGCGAAAGTAGGCGCCAGCACAGGTAGGCACAACCACGAGGCCTCTTGGGCCGCCTCGGCGATCGGAAGCTGGAAAAGGGGAGAACACCCAACTTTTTGTCAAACCTGAGGACATCAATGAATGATGCCTCCTTGAGGCCCTCTTGGTGTCCTCTTGGAGCCCTCTTGGTTCATCTTGGGGGCCTCGTGGGCCGTTTTGGGGTCATCTTGGGCCGTGGAGCATACAGGCCCGAGATCGTGGGGCCTGCCGCACAGTGGGGGCCTCCTTGGAGCGCTACTGGGCCGCTCACGCCCGACATGGGTACGGAAAGAATGGGTACAGTGCCCAACAGCAGTTCCTGTTCATTTTGAACAGGACTCGCTATCCACGCCGCCGCGGCCTGTGTCCATTCAAGACAGGAGGCCGCCTGCCCAACAGCGGCCGCTGTTGGTTTGGGACAACGTTTGTTGTTGGGCATTGTGCCCATTCTTTCCGTGCCCATTCCGGGCGTCCAAATGGAAGGCCCGATGACCGCGCCCAGGAGGAGAACCACATCCGACCCGACCTTGCCAGGAGTGTGCCGGCTTCTGGCCAGGCGTGTTCTCGTCTGGGGACCCCTATGGCCCGCCCCGCGCGCGCGACAACTAGAAGTATCCTTCGCCTCTCACCCGAGATTGTTTGACGTCCCTGGTCCGTCGGACCGGCGAATATCACTCAGCGATTCCATTATATCGTTCAGAGCGTTGGCAGGCAATCTGTTGGCGCCTCTATGCCATGCACCTTCGTGTCATCCTCATATGTATCATCATACCTCCTCCCTCTTTCTCATCTTCTTCCCTTCCTCCTTCTCATCCTCCCCGCCAGCTTCCTCCCCTTCATCGTCCTCTTTCTCCTCCTGCTCGCTCCTACTTCGCTCTCCTTGATGCTCTCACTCCTTGTCCTCCTCCTCCTCCTCCACATGCCCCACCTCCTCATCCACCTCCTCCTCATGTTCCTCCTCACAACTGTCAGCTATGTAATCCTGACCCTCTCTCCTCTTCCTCCTCCGTCCCGTCCTCTTCGTCTTGCTCCCCTCCTCCTACTCCTCCTCCTCCTCCTCCACCTCTTCCTCCTCCCCTTCCATGTTCTCCTGTTCCTCCTCCTCCTTCCCCCTTCCGCCATTTCCGTGTCGACTGCATGCGTTCCTAACAGCATCCAGCACCCCCAGTCTTACACAGACTCCTCAAAGTATTTGGGTCACAAAAAGAAGGCCTGTTCTCACGTGGCCCGGCGGGTCCGAGTGGTCAGCCGATGTGTGAGATCCACGCTCAATCCACATCCCCGTCTTCCTCCTCCTCCTCCTCCTCCTCCTCCTCTTCCTCCTCGTTCTCCTCCTCCTCCTCCTCCTCCTCCTCCACCTCCCCCAGCCCTGCGCTGGGAGCTCTTCCACTCGGGACCCAGTCCAGAAACCAGTTGCGAATCCGTGCCAATCCTCACGCAACGCGCGGGCAGCGCCCTCTGGGGCCCAGAGGGAAGAAAGGGCGAGGGCTGAATGGGCATCACGGGGGGGAATGGGCGGAAGGAAGGGCGGTGCAGGGATGGGGCATTCGCAGTGCGGAGGGGCAGAAGTGGGAGGCAGGGGACGAGAAGGGGGACGGGAGGCAGGAAGACAGGCAATGCAGCGAGGGAGGGGGAGGGGAGAGGAGAGGAAAGGAGGGGGAGGAGGCAGGGGAGAGAGGGTGGGTGGGTGGGCCAGAGGAGGCAGAAGCAGGAGGCGAGGGAGGGGGAAAGGGCGGGAAGGGGGCGGGTGCAGGCCACGGCGGGGGCAGGCGAGCCGCCGCAGGTGGCGGGGCCACCGCGCATCCCGCGCCCCCGCCCCTCGGAGAGGCCTGGGAGGGCGAGGACAAGGACGTGAAGGACGACGAGCAGGACCGTCGGGGGCAGCGTTGGGGCGGGGGGGGGGGCTGCTGCATTGTCCGATTCGCTGAGGCGTACTTTTGTTGACGATGTTTTCGCTCATTCGGTTTCTCTCCCCTCACGCCGCCTGGCTGGCGCATGCTCCGCGCCCCTCGGGGCTCGTTGCTTGTCAACCGCCGCACGCCTCCGCGTGCCAGGCGTAATGTGCTGTTTGCGATTGGCCGAAGCCGGCCCTGCTTTGCAATCTCATTCCAGAGCGCTACGTGCTCTTAGCATGAAGTCCGAACAGCGTCAAATGCGCTCCTGCAGGCAGGACGCTTCAAGAAGGGCCAGTGCTGGGTCAGGAGGGGCTCTGGCTTCCGGGCCGCCCCGGAGGTCCAGACGCGGGGAACCTGCTCGACGCCGAGGCTCGCCGTGGCCAGACGAGCCCCCTCGCTCCTTCTTGCTCAGCGCTCCTTACTGCAGCCCCCTGGCTGCAAGGGGGAGGGGCTGGGCTCAAGGGCGCCCCCCAATCGCCCACTCCTGGCCACAAGAGGCCCGATGCCACAGCCCGCCCAGGAGCGCTCGGCTTCGCTGTCGGGGGTCAAGCTCGGAGTGTACCCCCCTGAGCCGCCCCGCCCTTATGACTAGGGGATGGGGGGGGCACTTGACAGCCGAGGGTCTGCACTGTTCGGTCGTTTCGGCTGCTTCGCAGTCGGTTACGTTCTGTCTGTTCGGCTCGGTCGGTTGTTGCGTCGTTGTTGCGTCGCTGCGTCCTTCTGTTGCGTCGGCTTCGAATGTTCGTTTCTGCAGCAGTGTATGTGTATATATTTACATATGTATGTACATATTTTTATTCCCCAATCAGTGCTTGCACTGAAGGGGTCCTCGCGGATGTTGCTAGAGTTGGCGAAAGTGCCTCGCCGATTTTGGTGGCACGTTGGGTTCCCGGTTCCGGGTTCCCAGGTTCCTGGTCATTGGTTCATTACCGATCTCATTGTCGAGTTCATTACGGATCTCATTGGTTCCCGGTTCCGGGTTGCCGGGTTCTTGATCATTGGTTCTGGGCCGATGGTTAATCGATCGATCTCACTACCGATCTCACTGTTGAGTTCATTACGGATCTCATTCAATGTTCCCCAATCAGTGCTCGCACTGAAGGGGTCCTCACGGATGTTGGTAGAGTTGGCGAAAGTGCCCCGCCGATGTTGGTCGCACGCTGGGTTCCCGGGTTCCCAGGTTCCTAGTTCCGGGTTCCCGGGTTCCGGGCCGATTTCGGAGGGCGGCGAGGTTCCCGGGTTCCCGGGTTCTTGGTCGATCTTCTTATCGATCGGTCTCACCATCGATCTCATTTCCGACTTCTCGATCGATCTCACCATCGATCTCGCAATCGATCTCATTATCAATCTTACCAGCTATTTCATCAGAGATCGAATGAGCGATCTCGCGATCGATCTCACAATCGATCTCATTGAATCGATTTCACTCTCGGTCTCACGATCGACCTTACAATCGTCCTTACTGTGGATTACACTATCGATTTCACAATCGATCTCAAGATCCAGAGTACCGATTATCAAATCATCCAATGATTGGGTTTTCTCTGGTGATATATATATATATACATATACATATATATATGTGTGTGTCTGTGTGTTGAGCCCTGCTATTCGCATCAATGGCTCGGAGCGGACTCTCAGATGAGCCGCAATTCATTTGTATACATATTAGTGGCACGTGCGCGCGTGCCCAGGCTCACTCAAAACATAACGCACGGTGCGTGTGTGTGTATATGTGTGCGTGTTGTGTGTGACGTGTGACACGTGTGTTGTCGTTGTAGTTTCTGTTACGCGTTGTATATGAGTTGTGTGTCGTGTGTGTTTTATGTGAATGGTGTGTTCTGTGCTGTGTATCGTGTGCGTGTCTGTGTGTGCTGTGTATTGTGTGTTGTGTTGGCTGAGTGTGTTGTGTGTGCGTGTGTGCGGTTCGTGTGTTGCGTGCGGTGTGTGCGTGTGTGTGTGTATGTGTGTGTGGCGTGTGGTGTGTGCCTTTGTGTGTGTGTGGGCTCCGTGTGTCTTGCGTGCGTGTGTGTGTGTGTGTGTGTGTGTGTGTGTGTGCGTGTGTGTTGTTTTGCGTGTGTTCTGGGTATGGTATACGTATTGTGCGTATGTGTGTGTGTGTTCTGTGTTATGTGGTATGCGTGGTGGTTGGCCTGTGTTTGATGTCCATGATCAGTTGTGTGTGTGTGTGTTCGGTGTGTTGTGTGTGTGATAGGTTGTGCGCGTGTGTATCGTATGTGCATACTGTGTCTGTGCGTTCCGTGTTCTGTGGGTTGTGTGTATTGTGGATTGTGCGTGTTGTGTGTCATATGATGTTGCGAGGATGTTTCAGGCGGGTCCCTGTTTTCTTCAGAATCGTGTCCGAAATCATTGAGTTCACGCTTGTGTCTGAAGGTGGTGTGTGATATAAGCTGGGCAAGGTTATGTTGTTGGACCGTGACGTCGTGATCTGCCTCAGGGGGGCTTCGGTGTTTAAGATGCTTGAGGCTGTCCAGAGCGAACCAGCTGACAACAAAAGCATAGCTTTATGTGTTACCCTTTCGCGTATCCTCACCAGCCCATTCAGGAACGATCGCCGGGCGAGTTGTTCTGATCACGGGAGTGTAGCAGCATGCAGTGGAACAACAGCCTTGGAAACGTGTCGGTGGCGCAGAAACAGCAGGAGCATGCGTCGAATGGTTGAACACATGCTCCCGTGCCACTTCGGCTTAATCTCTTTCTTCTGGGCGGCTTCCTGGGGTTAT